GGCTCCGACATATATTTTGAGCTAAGGGTAAAAGCCGGATAGTTGCCACACTTTTCAAAAAAGCTCTCTTTTTTCAAAATGTATACTAGTTAATTATTCATTCAAGGCGTATTCTTGAACATCATTTATTAATCTATTATCGTAGCCAATTTTTTAAATATAAATATTATAAGTTTTGAGTAAATCCTGTTTTATCCCCTCTAAAAAAGGGGATAGTTGCCTACTATAGCGAATAGTAGCCTAGCGTTAAAAATGTTTCGGGGGATACTTGCCTTATGTGAGGATAGCCTGTCTATGTATTTTTACAATAAAAATGAACTTATATTAATTAAAGTAATCAGCTTTTATTATTTACTGCAATCTTTTATTAATTAATAATTAAAGTTAAACTGTGATTATAAAATTAGAACAAAAATAGACTCCAAAATGGTATTTAGGTATCCAAAATATTAATGAAATATAATTACTTATTTTGAAGAAAGAACAATATGACAATTAATTTTGACATTATCATCGATTAAGTTACTTAACTTAATACTTATTCAGTCTTTATTATTTACTGAGATCCTTTATTCGGTACTAATTAAATTATTAAAGTATCAATTAGTAAGTATGAAACTTAAAGATAAAGAAATAAAATAATCTATTTTGAAAGTAGCATTTGTTATCATCAGAAGCCAGGGTTTTTATCTAGTTTTTCGAACGCAAGTACCAAACTGTGTGTGTTCTGTCCAGCTGATGTGGCGCGGTACAACGCCCGGCTTTAGTTTATACTTACGAGGCATTTTGCTGTTAAGTTGATATTTCTTTTATTAGTAAAAATAAATGCAAAAACACCAAGAAAAAGAATCTGTCTTTGCTCGTTAAAAAAAATATAGTTACAGTTTTTTTGCCCTAAGGCAACTATCCGCAAAAGTCAATAGGGCTACTATCTTTTTTGATACGGGTACTTGCCCTATTTATTTAAGAAATAAATAAAATACATTTATTAATAAAAAGTAATAAACAGTGCAATTTAAACACAAATGTATGCAAAGACACAAAAAATTGCTGAAATCATAATCAGTAATAAAAATATTTAACAGAGATTACTTACTAATATAATTCTGACGCTCGTCAAAGCATCGCCGCCGAAGTTTTTTGTTCACACAGACAAACCACGCGCGTCTATTTCAACGGCTTTTGCGACACAGAGACCTACATGGCGTGCACTTCCGTTTATAATCAAGTCCAAACACGAGCAACAAGCCTAACATAGTATATTCGAAACTGAGGCAAGTATCCTTCCGAGGCAACTATCCGGCTTTTACCCTATGTAGTTGACATACTAATAACACTTTATTCTTTTGCAAAATCTAGACAAAACGTGCAAGAATGTTCTAATGGTGAGGCAATGTGAAGTACGTAAACAATGATGCACTAAAAGTATTTTGTAATAACTAAAGATGAGCGAGAAACAATGAGCAGTAGCTCGGTGGCGTAGAGTAGCTCGGTGGCGTAGTGGATAAGCGCCGCGGCCAGCAATCGTTGTCGTTAATCAGGTCGGTCACGGGATGGGTGACCAAAAAAATATTATCTTGAGCTACTCCGTGCTTTGGAAGGCACATTAAACTGTTGGTCCCGGCTGCATTTGCAGTCGTTAATAACCTCCAATCCGCATTAGGTCAGCGTGGAGGGTCATGGACCATCCTCCTTAAATAAAGTGCTCAGACTACAATACACGAATCGTGGCGACTCAACAGGTCTCAGAAGTTGAACAGCTACGTTTTTTAATTATATACCTAGTGTTACTTAAGACAATCGGGGAAGAATAAAATCACAATTACTAAATATCCAAGGAAAGTTATATTTATACTAAAGATATTTAAAATTTAAAGCTTATATCAATTATTTCTTTTGTTTCAGTTTATTCAAACTCAACGAGGATTTCATTCAGTTATTTAGAATATAGAGTTCAGTTTAGAAATAAATATTTTAATGAGTTTTTGATTATGTGTTCCTTTGATATTCGGCTCTTTTCTTATTGAGCTGGTGTCTAATTTCTCAAACACTTGTTAGTTTCGTTTAGGTAGACGGCTTTATTCTCAAACTGTGATCATTATTTGATTCCGATAAAAATCATTTTGCCTTTCCAATACTAAACGCTGACCTGTTATTCGTTTTATTAGTCATAAAAAATCATTTACACGTCTTTATTACTACTTTTACCGTAAAATAATGTTCAGTTACGTAAATATAGAGTTTATCGGGCCACATCGCCGTTGTGTTTCAGCCTGCTGAATATTCAATTCAGTTAATTTTCTTAACGGTACTTCAGATTTCAACTGGCCCAAATTATAACCACACAACATTAGAGCCAGTCGGTATAACCATTAGAATTAATGGTGATTGGCGTTACCGAGAAAATGGAAAATTAAATTTGGAATTGCTATTCTATGTTTGAATTTTGGAGAAAAAAAGTATAGAAATTATTTCCTATTTTTTTTATTATTCAGTTTCATCGGTTGACTACTTAGTGTAAGTTCAGTATTTGTAAAAACATATTAAGTATTTATTTACAAATTAAACAAAAAGTAATTCAAATCATCAACATGTGTATTATATGAAATGATGCCGATTCTGTTATATTAATCTCTAAACTATATTATAAAATCTAATTTTAATGTGGTTTTGGTTTAACTTTATTCCGTAGTCAGATATAATCAAATAAATACGCGTGTATAACATAAATTACTGCTGCTACCTTACTTTGAAGAAATTGGAACTAAATTTAGTCTAGCTTGTGCAACAGAATGACTGCAATTATCATTCTAATTGGTATTTTGACTATGTGCACAAACAAATTATAAATGTTTTTAAATCAATGAGTAAAGTTATAAAACATCATCGTTAACATCCTAGTAAACTTTGGCTACTGATTAGTATTTCTGTTTACAAATGTTTCCCTTCTCAACCACTTATTCATTAATCTGAATTTATAACTAAGTAATTAAAGTTTGACAAGGCCACGCTCCCTCAGACAGATAAAGATTAATGCAAAATTAAAGTGATCCCTTGCAGGGAGAGACGACGAGTTCTAGCATGTTGGTTAGGTGGAAATAGTTTAGTAGAGTTAATGATGGAAAATTACATCATATTTTAATGAAGTCATTATTGAACAATTGTGTGCGTAATAAAACGGAAAAACAGCAGCCTTTGCAGAGTTTCTCGGTACAAGGTCTCCCGCTATAGACATACAAACTGATGGCATAGAGTTTCGACTTTCTCAGGTGTTTTGTAACAGCCTAGATTGAATAAATGATTTTGATTTGATTTTATTTAATAATTGTCATTTTTTTTCATAGCATACACGGACCTGAAAGTCGGTACTGATACTGTAACCCTACAAACAGATCCAGTAATCCGTAGGATCCGAAAGTCGGATCCGTCTATGAATATAGGTGCTGTCATTGGTTAGTGAAGGTGATTCGGTGGGTATAATTGTCCGTATAGAACCGATAGAGAAAGAAGAAAGGTCAAAACGCACTTAAACGGCTTGGAGCCTTGCCTGATGATTTACTTCCCATTCTTATATAAAATGAGTGGCCGCTGTTAACTTCAAATTTTTAATTAACACTATGAAATGTATTTTAAATGGTACCGGTAATCTGTATAATCCAGTATAATATACAATACCTAGATAATGTATACAATCCGTTAAACGTGTAGTTAATCTGTGAAATATTTTTTATTTTATATTTTCCCGAGATATTTAATATAATATCAAATGCGCAGATGGTAATGTCTGTAAAAGACGACAGCAAGGAAGATGAGGACATGCAGGAAGGCAGGCAATAAACGTGTTTTGACTTTGTAATTATATAATAATATAGATAATACAAAATCACGTGACCTACAGTTATAAAATAATATGGTAGTCCAGTTCACATTAATAAAAAATATACCAAAACCTATTTATTTACTCGTTGCCCATGAAACAACAGGTATAGTGGCCGGTCTACGAGAAATTATACGGCGTTTCGTGAACAAAAGATATCCTTTGGCAGGTTTGATCTGTAGGTCCAAAGGATTGATTTAAGAAGTGGAGCCACCTGGATTTCCCTTGCAGGTAAGAGGGGGAGGGGGGGGGAAGTTTGCACCCGCCGCGCTTCGAATAAAAAATTATAACTGCTCCAGTTATGCATACAAAGGCGTGTTTGGTATCGTTTTCGCATAAGAAGAGTACGGGGAATCCGTTTTTAAGGTTAGTTAGAGATACTTTTGTACAAAAAGTCAATAATTTTCGAAAAAAATTAAATTTTAAAGTTAGTTTTTTTTTTCTTTTAAATATATTTACCTTAATAAATAGATCGATTTTGTGATAAAAAAATAGTATTATCAAGCTCATACTATCTAGTTTTTAGAAAGATATACATTACGTATACTTCTCTAACAGTATGTACCCCAAAAAAAAATACCGCGCGAATCTAGAAAACTTAAGTTGTAAATCATTTTACTGTTTATCTTTTTTTAACTGCTCCAGTTATGAATACAATGGTATGTTTGGTATCGTTTTCGCTTAAGAAGAGTACAAGAAATCTATTTTTAAGGTTATTTTTAAACATTTTTATACAAAATGTTTATAGTTTTGATAAAAAAGTAAATTTAAAAGTTATGTTTTACACATTTTTGGTTATTTTTCGCAAATTAACTATTATCTTCTACGTTGGAATGTATAGTTTGTTAAAGACGGAGTAAATAAAATAATGATAAAAAATAAGCAAATATATTTTATATTTATAAAATAAAAAATTGTTAAAAATCAAACACTTTCTCAAGTCTTCGAATTCCTCCGGAGGGCCTCGCGGACTACAAAAATGAAACAAAAAAGATAATATTATATGTAATAATGTATAATCTCTGTTTAGTTTTAATAAACTATAAATATAATAAACTCTAATGTTATCTAACAATTTAAATATACCTACCTACCGGGAATTAGCGGAGTATCTGTTACACTCTTAATCTTCGATGAGCGCCTCGAGGTCTATTGCACTGTAACAAAATAGAAATAATATTATACAATGTAAATAACAATACGAAATTCAGCAGGCAAAGTTATTTGACAACATAAATATACCTGGTATTATCGCAGTTTCCGTAGCAGCTCTTACACAGCAGTGTGCATGGCATACCCTCTCGTCTGCAAGAACATCGGCCTCTGCAGCTGTTCTTGCATCCACACTTCACCAGCTCTCGTGCCGCCTCCCAGATACTGGGCTGAGTTGTCCATAATGGCTGCCATTCTCCTTCGGTTTGAGTCCATCCACAGTCAGCTGGGGAAGGGATAACCCCTGAGGGATCAAGAGCTTGTCCCCAGATGAAGCCTGCTTGATAGGCTGCCCTCAAAGTGTGCATCCTTAGAGCATCCCTCGTAGGGGGGATATTTTGCAATGACTTGTTTTTGGAGAATAAAATCTTGCGGGCTTCGTTAACTGAACGAATTTCAGTATCACCACAGTATAACATGATGACGTATTTTTCTATTTTTGTCATCAAATCATCTGTCACTTCTTCCAATGGATTTGAAAGTGCTCTAAAAGCTGATGTGGCCTCGAGATGTTGCTGAATTTCAGTATCACCACAGTATAACATGATGACGTATTTTTCTATTTTTGTCATCAAATCATCTGTCACTTCTTCCAATGGATTTGAAAGTGCTCTAAAAGCTGATGTGGCCTCGAGATGTTGCTGCCACGCTTTCCAGGTCAGTGTTTTGCCTTTAGAATAGAAAGTAGAAACGGTGTCACAGCCTGTGAAGGCATGGTACCCTCTCATAGCTTCTGCTTTGTCTTCTCCCAGAACCTGTGCCAAGTCATGTGCAGGTATATAGCTGTGGTGTTTGCCCGTTCCGAAAGATATCCAGAGCTCATGGAGACCTAACTGCTTAAGGGCGAAGAAGTATGATATGGCAATTATGATCATCAAGAGATCATTGGAGTGCATATAGTGACCGACATCGGTCCTACAATAAAAACATCAAAACCAACGGAGACGCTAATAGGAGGGCTTAGTGTGAATTCTGAGGAAGCTGATGGCCGCATTATTCTGCACGCAAAGGATATGGTTATCAATGGAGCGACAAGAATTATTATACACACCGTAGATTCCGATGACCTGGAAAGCGTGGCAGCAACATCTCGAGGCCACATCAGCTTTTAGAGCACTTTCAAATCCATTGGAAGAAGTGACAGATGATTTGATGACAAAAATAGAAAAATACGTCATCATGTTATACTGTGGTGATACTGAAATTCGTTCAGTTAACGAAGCCCGCAAGATTTTATTCTCCAAAAACAAGTCATTGCAAAATATCCCCCCTACGAGGGATGCTCTAAGGATGCACACTTTGAGGGCAGCCTATCAAGCAGGCTTCATCTGGGGACAAGCTCTTGATCCCTCAGGCGTTATCCCTTCCCCAGCTGACTGGGAATGGACTCAAACCGAAGGAGAATGGCAGCCATTATGGACAACTCAGCCCAGTATCTGGGAGGCGGCACGAGAGCTGGTGAAGTGTGGATGCAAGAACAGCTGCAGAGGCCGATGTTCTTGCAGACGAGAGGGTATGCCATGCACACTGCTGTGTAAGAGCTGCTACGGAAACTGCGATAATACCAGGTATATTTATGTTGTCAAATAACTTTGCCTGCTGAATTTCGTATTGTTATTTACATTGTATAATATTATTTCTATTTTGTTACAGTTCAATAGACCTCGAGGCGCTCATCGAAGAATAAGAGTGTAACAGATACTCCGCTAATTCCCGGTAGGTAGGTATATTTAAATTGTTAGATAACATTAGAGTTTATTATATTCATAGTTTATTAAAACTAAACAGAGATTATACATTATTACATATAATATTATCTTTTTTGTTTCAGTTTTGTAGTCCGCGAGGCCCTCCGGAGGAATTCGAAGACTTGAGAAAGTGTTTGATTTTTAACAATTTTTTATTTTATAAATATAAAATATATTTGCTTATTTTGTATCATTATTTTATTTACTCCGTCTTTAACAAACTATACATTCCAACGTAGAAGATAATAGTTAATTTGCGAAAAATAACCAAAAATGTGTAAAACATAACTTTTAAATTTACTTTTTTATCAAAACTATAAACATTTTGTATAAAAATGTTTAAAAATAACCTTAAAAATAGATTTCTTGTACTCTTCTTAAGCGAAAACGATACCAAACATACCATTGTATTCATAACTGGAGCAGTTAAAAAAAGATAAACAGTAAAATGATTTACAACTTAAGTTTTCTAGATTCGCGCGGTATTTTTTTTGGGGTACATACTGTTAAAGAAGTATACGTAATGTATATATTTCTAAAAACTAGATAGTATGAGCTTGATAATACTATTTTTTTCATCACAAAATCGATCTATTTATTAAGGTAAATATATTTAAAAGAAAAAAAAACTAACTTTAAAATTTACTTTTTTTCGAAAATTATTGACTTTTTGTACAAAAGTATCTCTAACTAACCTTAAAAACGGATTCCCCGTACTCTTCTTATGCGAAAACGATACCAAACACGCCACTGTATGCATAACTGGAGCAGTTATAATTTTTTATTCGAAGCGCGGCGGGTGCAAACTTCCCCCCCCTCCCCCCCTTACCTGCAAGGGAAATTCAGGTGGCTCCACTTCTTAAATCAATCCTTTGGACCTACAGATCAAACCTGCCAAAGGATATCTTTTGTTCACGAAACGCCGTATTTTGCGTTTTTATGTCGTGTAGGATTGCCACTAGTATTCCATACAATCCCTAAGAATTGTATACATTCATTTATTTAATCTTAATTACCTAGTGAAATAGACAAATGGCGGACTTAATACCAAAGAGGAATTCTCTACCAGTCAATCAGTAATTTTAGTACAAAATATTAAAGTGCCGACAGACACGAATGTTGATATGTACATTATGCTATTGATATCCCTACATAAGAACTATATCTAAGTATATTAAAAATATCTATATACAATAATAGATATACATACATATACATAAATAAATACATATATATAACACAAAATACGAAACAAAATCTGGTGTGAGGTCAAGAAATCTTGTATGAAGCATAGTAGAAGTTGCAAGCTGCTGTCTTGAATTGTTAACAGCACTTCGGATGTTGAAAAGCAGTACATTCCAAAGACGGATGGTGGTTAGAGTGAATGGTTACAGTATGATGGTGGTTACAGTAGTACCAGTTTACTACTGGAAAGAAGATTTTTCTGGTGAGAGGCACCGAGGATTTCAAACCGCGATTTCAAATACTCAGGTGCTCGTGGATCGAAAAATATCTGTAAAAGTATGCAAACAATCCTTAAGTACCTACGTTCCAAACTGTTCCCTAAAAACAAAACTACAATAGACTTATCATCGGAAGAAGATAACCTCGAAGATACTCCCCAAGAAAACAACTGGACTCAAGTAACCAGTAAAAAACGACCTATATCGAGCCCGGAAACAACAAATAGATGTAAACAATCAAAACTTAACACATATTGGCTTGGCCAGCCAATAAATACATCAAACCGATTCTCAAACCTGGATATTGACCAAGATACAACAGTACAGAGTAACCGTAAGGAGCCAAGACCTCCTCCCATCTTTGTTGACAAAGTTGGCAACATTCAGCCACTAATATCTCTGTTAGACACATATGCAAAAGACAATTTTACCATTAAAGTAATACAAAATGATAGAGTCAAAATTCAACCCCACACATCTGAGACTTACCCTAGGATAGTAAAACTATTAGAGGAGAAAGATACTGAATTTTTCACTTATAAACCCAAAAGTGAAAGAAGTTTCAAGGTTGTTCTTAAAAATATGCATTCATCCATGGAACCAGATGATATCAAATACGCACTCAATCAGCTAGGCCATATCGTTACTAATATATGGAACATCAAACAAAGAATCACAAAGAAACCTCTGCCAATGTTTATTGTAGAACTAAAGATGCAGTCAAACAATAAATCAATATATGACTTAAAAAAACTGCTTAGTTGCAATATATATTTCGAACCATTGCGACCTAAGCGTGAAATACCACAGTGTGCGAACTGTCAGCAATACGGTCATACAAAGAAATACTGTCGTAGAAAACCAAAATGCATAAAATGTGCTGGAGACCACCACTCCTCCAATTGCGAAAAAAAAGGAAGGCTGTCTGATGTCAGATGTGTTTTGTGCGATGGTAATCACCCAGCCAATTATAAGGGCTGCAATGTCTATAGAGAACTACAAAAAAACAAATTTCCACCTTTACGAGCACGAACATTGAATATACAGCCACAGGATCAGAGAATCTCAAAGACTTCCACTGGCCTAGTAGATACAGAAAGTTCAAAAATTTCTTATGCACAAATCGCAGCTAAGCAAAATCAGGACTCAAGCACCAAAAACAAAACTCTTGATGAATCAAATAAAGAACAAAACCAAAATTTTTATGAAATAATAGCGAATATGTTAAAACAAATGATGTCTCAACTAACAACTATGAATAACCTACTCATAACTCTAACGAGCAGGCTTCCACATTCACAAATTTAAAAATGTTTATATGGAATGCCAATGGGCTGCTACAACACACTCTAGAAGTTAAAACATTTCTGCTTGCAAACAATGTGGATGTTCTTATGATATCTGAAACGAGATTCACAAATAAAAACCATTTTTCAATTCCCAAATATAAATTCTATAGTACAGAACATCCTGATGGTACTGCTCATGCTGGATCAGGAATTCTCATAAAATCCAATATAAAACATCATGTAGTCAAACCATATTGTACGGATATGATCCAAGCTACAAATATCATTGTTGAGGACGCCACTGGCTCTCTGACAATATCGGCACTGTATTGTCCACCAAAACATAATTTGAAGGAGAATGATTATATTGATTATTTCACATCACTGGGAAATAGATTTATAGCAGGAGGCGACTATAATGCTAAACATACCGATTGGGGATCGCGAGTTACTACGCCAAAGGGACGCCAGCTACTGACAACCAGTCAGAAACTTAAATTGAATATTATAACGTCGGGGGAACCTACGTATTGGCCCACAGACAGAAAGCGTCTTCCTGACCTTGTGGATTTTTGTGTGACGAAGGGCATTTCTAACAAATACATTACTGCAAAATCGAGTCTGGAACTATCATCAGATCACACTCCAATTATTGTTATCCTGAAAACAGAAGTGACTAAGACTCTTGGCCAATGCAGACTGCATAGTCACAAGACAAATTGGATTCTCTATCGAAGCCTTGTGTCTTCAAAAATCAACATAAACTTGCCACTGAAAACTGACGATGATATAATGCTGGCAGTTGAGCATTTCAATCACTGCATCCAAACATCAGCATGGGAGGCTACACCTGCTCAAAAGGAATCTGGAACAAACCCTTGTACACAGACTATTAGAGATATTATCTCTGAAAAACGTTCTGCCAGGAAGAAGTGGCAGCGGACTAGGCACCCTGAAGATAAGAAAAAACTAAACCACCTCATATCTAAAGTAAAGAAGTTGCTACTTGAAGAAAAAAATGAAAACGTTGCAAATCATTTGATAAACTTAGATGCTACAGCTGCTAGTGATTATTCTCTGTGGAAGGCTACAAAAAAACTAAAGCAACCTAAAATTTATCGACCGCCGATTAGAAATCCGGACAATTCATGGGCTAGAAATGATCTTGAGAAAGCAAATACGTTTGCTGCTCACCTGAAAGAAGTTTTTAAGCCCAACCCCTGCGATGTGCCCACGGATGTATTAAATTGTGTTTCCGCAGCTCTAAGTGCTACTTATCAGCTTGACCCACCCATAGCTAAATTCACCAAAACTGAAGTACGGAATGCGATATTGAAACTGGACCAAAATAAGGCTCCCGGTTATGACCTGATAA